TGTAGTGACATATAATTAAAACAGAGGGCTGAACGCGCCCCTGATTGAGCTAACAAGTATACGATATTCACCGATAACAATCGAACGCACCGAAATCCGATACACGGTCTAGTCTACTCCAAACATTGCGGTAACTAACACATAATTCCACTGCCTCAACATAACTCAAAATCAATTTAGTATACTTTTGGTAAAAATCAATTACCTTATAATTTTACAGTCTGTATCGTGCTTTACATCACCTAGGAAATGTTCAATTGCGAATTACTAAGCGTATTGCTCCTGAACAACAACTCGAGTACGATTAGATCTTACTATATCAGTACCCCCAACAAAGAGACCCCGCGTCAGCTGGTGGATAGTTACCCCCTCAGCTGCTGGTGGACAGACATCACATACAGCGACGTTCATCGGTGACAATGATCTTTTTTTTTGTAAAAATCGATCTATAATTCGTCAGAGTTAATGATACAAACAGGAATATACCTGCGTTGTCACTCGACTGTAGTAAGTATATACATTATTAACTTGATGACGTCGGTCAAAAAACCTATATGTTATATATTTGTCTATTTTTATGTGCTGTGTGCGTGGGGAAAACTATATTAGGAAGAATTAAAATTGAAATACCAACACAGGTGGAATAGAACGTAAGATGCTATAAATTTTATAAATAACTTCAAATGAAATGGAATTTAAAAAGAAAGATTTTCCTGGAATCTCTTTGAACCACCTCGTGAATTGCGGGCCGGAAATAAATACTAGTAATCAGTCTGCAACAAAATATAAAAGATACAGAGATGAGGGAGCAAACAGTTCATTAACTGCTAATAATTTAATTAAGAGACAAAATATTATATATCCATTGGATTTCCCCTACAGTAATACGGAGTGTTATATAATGAAATATATGGAACTATATATGTTATGAAAAGTATTCAAGTCCAGAAGTCCATTAAACAATATAAAATGGGAGCAAAGCAGACACGGACCTCCAAAATTCCAGGATCAGGTGTCATGAACGAGTGAGGATTCCTATACTAAATTAACTTAAAGTCATCGGTCATACTCAAAACTACAAAACAATGTCACATAGTAAAATTCCTTAATATGTAAGTGAAATCATTAAATGTCGGTATTACTTTAAAATGACCACAAAGTTATCATATTTCATCTAATCATATATTTTTAAAAGCAGAAATCAAAAATATCTTAAAACCTTGTAGAGCAGTTTATTATGACGACGTATATGTCTGCATTAATTAACAATCAATAACTGGCGTAGATATAATTACTAAAACAACAGAAGACTCTACAATACAGTAGGATTTTCCTCTTTTGAATGACGAAAACTGCTTTTGCTTACGCACAATAATTTATTTCAGATATTGATTCCAGATTGGTTTAATGCAAAAATAAATCAATTTTAGATCAGTTATGAAACCTAGCTCAAAAATATATTGACACTCAAAAACATTTCCGTGATATTTATTAATGTACGTCCTTTTCTCTTAAAAGTTATAGGATTCATAACAAGCGTACAATTGACCTGATCTTGATATAGAATTGAAACTATAGGAAATTTAATTTTATACAACTATCGTAAGAGACGTGCGGAAACCGGTGTTATAACCTCCGAGACGTGAGTTTGATAATGCATAATTTCTAAAATTCGTCAACGTGTACTTTACATTTATTTTGAACATACTCGGTGTAAGCTGAATACATTTTAATTGGCTGTATTCACTATGATAAAATAAATACGCCTTCTCTATTTTTCACGAATTAATAAATTCAAAATTAGTTTTAAACATGACTGTTGTGTCGTAAATGTCTGTTTCTTTTTCATCGATATTTAGTAATGCAACTTCGTTGTGAAGAGATAATACAGTAGTCCATCGCGTGCGCGCAAACGGTTATGTTTCCTGAAGAGGGGTCAGTTGTGATCGCCGAGAGCCAGTGATAAAAATCCCAAACTACAACTAAAGTGGAATGACCAGTGATAAAGACTGTACACAGACATTTTATATAACGTCAAATATTGCACAAGAAATCTAAGGTTAAAAGACAACTAATCCGAGCTTTAAAATATTAAAATCCAGGCTGTATATTTTGTCTTCTACCAAACCTCAAACAACGCGAGGATATCGCAAAATCTCGCAGGCATTTCCGATACAAAGAAAATGGACTAAATCTGAAGCAACGCAGGTAGTAATATCGATCTTGTATGTAAAATAGGTGGTAAATCTCATCGAAAGCCCAGCACCAAAGTAATTATGCGAAAATAAAGTTCTCACAAATAAAATGTTATTCTCAGTACTCATTAAAAAGAACTTCCCGAATCGATGGTAATTCGGAAAGGGCTCTAAAACTGAAATAAAACTTTGAAAAGTACAAAGGCAATTATATCATATCAGGAAATAGAAGAAAAAAGTAAAATAAAGAGCACAATTGTACATATAAATTTGCCAAAGACATGAAAACTGGTTGAAGACATTTTGAGATTAAGGATCGAAGCCTTGTAGTAGTGAAGTTTAATGTTGAAGACGGAAAACTGATGAAACATTTAAATGACCAAAGAAAATAACTGTAAAAGCAAATTAAACATTAAAAAATCATTAAGCATTGATCAAGAAATGAAATTTGAGAGAAAGAAACTTAGACAAAGGCAATGTTTCCAAAATTAATGCAAATTTGTCGTCGAAAGAGTTGTGCAAGTGGTATTTAAATTTAATTTGAAAATTTATTATTTTTTCAGATAAAATGAATAATAAGTGGCAATTCAAAATTCAAGGAAAGCATGACGGGAAAGAAAATCTCAGATCATAAAATATTTTCTTCCATTTTATATGCAAATCAGGAGGCCGTCTCCCTTCCTAATTCAATTATTGTTACATCTTGATACCTATTGGGATAGTAATACCATATAAAAGATTGATTGTATTTCAATCATCATTTACTTAATAGATTGTATCAAAACGTCATGACAGTGTGTCTTTGAATTTAATTTTACTGCAATTTGTGTTATGATATTTGGCCTTGTGAAATACGTAATTACTTCATCAAATCATAGTTAACAACATATCCAAATGCCTACGATCTTGACCTTTGCAAGAGCCACATGGTTTCGTGTAATTCTATACCTGTAGTCATTCTTTACCAGACCCCCCCTTGTAATACCTATTGTGGCTCTGCAATCCCCACCCCCTGGGTTATGATATTTACAATTAGGAATCTGCACTAACCAAGGATTAAAGTTTTTTCCTACATATTTCTTTGTTAATTGGATTCCCTATTGTGGTCCCACCCTACCCCAGGGGGTCATGATTTTAAAAATTTGGAATCTTAACTAACCCAGGATGAATTCCACATTTTCTGGCCAAGTTGTTCTTGAGAAGTTTTCTTAAGATTTTTTTTCTATATATATTTTAATATAAAAATATGGATTTCCTACGTGGTCCCGCCCTACCCCCGGGGGTCATGATGTTTACAATTTAGAAACTACACTACCTAAGAATGCTTTCACATAAGTTTCAGCTTTTCTGGCTAAATGTTTTGAGAAGATTTCTAAGATTTTTCTTATGTACATTTCTATGTAAAACTTCGTATCCTTTTTGTGGCACTGCTCTACCCAAAAAGGTAATTTGTATTAAATTAATACTTTTTCAGGTACATGTAATAAAATCTTGATGTACATATGGAAAATCAAGCTCAAAAGTCAATTAAAACCTAATAAATCGGTAGCGGAGCATATACAGACCTTTAAATCATCAGAGATGAGATCACATGCCATGGAGGGGTAAGCATCCCCTCTGTAGGTAGTATCCAAACAGTGAGTAAAGAGAACCAGGATATTTGTTAGGAAGGTGGGATTTTCTCACAAGCAGCGGTCTGGGAGGTGCCTTTAGGCCCAAAGTAGGTATGCCCTTGTGGAGGTCAAGAGAAATTAAAGCTTTTGTTCTTCTCTTGTTTTAATTCAAGTAATCAATCTACTACCTTTCTCAAAGTTTGCCTGCTTTCAATTAAAACTATGGCTGTTTTTGTATACCACAAACAAAATACATGTGCATGCATTTCTTACACATTTTTTGTTCATTGAAATCTATTTCTTAAAAATTGGCTGTCATTCATGCCATTCCATGATTTTATTATTCAATGATACAAAAAGGCAATATAAATCAAAACGAAAATAGATGGATTTTTATTTTACTAAATATAGCACCTTTTAACATGGACTCCATTAGAGGCGCACACAATTATTTAATGTAAGTTTTAAGGACAAAATGTATGACGTATAAAAAGGCTTATCTTATGTAAATCAGTTTCTTTTAAGACTTTGATAAGTAAATAAATAATAACCTTAGAACGATTGAAACATTCAAAGCATTTTCAAAGGTAAATAATTGTCCTATGGCAAAACAATGCCCTCTTAGCCAATTTGGACCTGCTATTATGACATTTTTTCCTGAAGAAGTACGATTCTATGTTTATCCCATTTTAGACCTAGGATTTAAGATTTATTGGATTTAACTATACATGGAGATGCATTTCAATTTCAACATGACTATGCTATGACTATGTTTTGCTTTTCTGAAGATGAGAATTTTTTGGTTCATATTTTCTAAAACTTTCCTTTTTGTATAATTAAATGACTTCTGTGATGATATATAAGCATGCATTTTATGAAAAATTATAATAAAATGCTTATTTAAAGTTATTGAAAATTCGAATTTTTGATGGTATTTGATCGACATGTCTTTGTACTTTCAAAATATTTGATTTTAACTTTATCAGAATATTTTAGAAAACTGCTATTTTATTGTACATTTATGAAAAAAAATAATATTAAAACTATAATTCAGAAAATTTAGAGTAGGGATGATGTAGATATTTCTAAACATTCTTTAAATCTGCAGGTATAAGCTTATTTATTTTTTGGAATATAGATAAGTGTTTTTCTGATGATTACTATATTGATTTTTAAAAATTATTTTTACTAGTAAAAGAGCCATACAATATATATCAGAGTCAGTGTTTGTGGGACTATGTCGTAAAATGGGGACCTCACAACTGGTGGCCATGAGGAGAGATTTGATGGATATCTGGGAGATGGTGGAAAATCAAGTGAGAACAAGTGATGAGGAAAGTGTGATGGTGAGTGGAAGTCAAAGAGAAGGATTGAGACTGGAAGGGTCAGATTTAGACATCATGCACTGGCCAAACAATCACCATGTGATCTGGGAATTATCTCAGTCTCAGTATTACAACACAAACAGACAAACACTGATCCTCTGTGACTGTTCTGATAGTCCACCAGGATTCACTTTGTTATATTTACTGTCACCAAGCATGTACATTGAAATCCAGAGAGCTTGCATTATAATTTATAATAGGCACTATATATCTAGTTCTAAATTCATACAGATCGTGTGTTCGGCATTAAAAAGAAAGTCAACTCGCCATGGACCTTGTGCAAGTGGAAAAATCAGAACACTAGAATATGATGAAGCCTACTGTTTTGTTTGTGACTTTTGGCCTCCATCTGCCTCCTCATGGATAGACAGATGTCACTTTTGGCCCCCGCCTCATTTTGTGGATGATATAGTAAAAAATGGATGTCACTTTGTAGCAATCGGACATAATCTAGGATGTAATGAAGACCTTGAATGGAGAATTTCTTTTTCTCTAGCAGAGCAAAAACTTGTGTATGCAATGAACCACTGTCAGTTCTTAACATACGGCCTACTAAAATTGTTCTTAACAGAAATAATTAACAATAGGGTAGGTGATGATGATAAATTACTGTGCTCCTATCACATGAAGACAGCTGTTTTCTGGGTAATTCAACAAAATACAATGCCACACTGGTGTCCACAAAATGTTCTGGGATGTTTCTGGGTCTGTTTCAAACTCATTCTTAAATGGGTGTATGAGGGGGACTGCCCAAATTTTTTCATTCCAGATAACAACATGTTTCTGTGTAAAATTCATGGCGTCAAACAACATCAGCTATTTCTTAGACTGTATGGGTTGTATGAGAAGGGTTTAGCACTCCTGCTACACAGTCCCACCATCCGGTCTTGTATTATAAATGTCCTTCATAACCCCAGACTCTCCATCTGTACAGATGAACATACTCTGATTTCTGAGGCTGAGTTTGACAAAAACCTTTATAATGAAATACAGAGATATAACGCATTAGTCAAATCAAACATACAAAGTTGTATGAGATATCTACAAAAAATAGAAAAATTGATAGGTTCACCCCTCCTGACACAGTATCAAAACTTGATGCTCCAGAGTCTTACAGCTTTTGTCCTTCAGAGAAGTGCTATTATATTACACATGGAAACTCAAACACATAAAAACAAACTGAGGTATAGAGCTAACAAAATTTCCTGTCACATGCTGAAATTGGCAGCCAAATTTGGTTACATTACTGACATGCTGTACATAGCCATGGTTTATTACAAGACACTTAGATACGTGGAAGCTTTATCTATTATAGAGATGATCAAGGTCAAGTTAGCACAGCCGTATGTGATCTATATGGGTAATGTAGATACAGAGATATATACAGAGGCTGTAGGGGGACAGTCCTGGTCTACAAAAATGAGAAAGGCTGTAGCAAGGACTATCAGACTTAACAATGAAATCCATTACATCAGTGAATTGATACCAGAACAACAGTCTGCTGTACAGAAATGTATTACTGAATTAACTGTCCCACCCTATATTCTGTTATACATGCTAGAAATCTTGTGCTACAGACATGTAGACACAATGAGAGTACAAACAGCTCTAGATAATCTACAGACCCTAGTTCACTATGATCAGGGTCAGTTTATAGATTCACGTCTCAGAGACATATCGTGGCAGATTCTGGGGATCTGTCAACAGGTGACAGGGAACCTCCAGGCTGCTCTATACTCATACCAACAATCTCTCAGACAAGTACCATTCCACAAAATACAAACAGCTACAAAAATGAGAATAGAGCAGGAAGGGTTCCTTCTTTAAGATAACTTAATTAGTAAAATAAATGCCAAACACTTATGAAAAATTACCTGATAGGGTTAATGTACCTTTATTTCTCATTTTATGGTCTCTGATTATTCTTAAATTTAAGATACGAGGTCGATGGATATCAATGCTCAACTGAGTCTCCTTGGCCCTGCTGTTCTTCACCTGATTTGTTGAAACATTTATCCCTTCTTTATTCCAATGAAAATGGTTGGTCTTATCTTATGTTAAAAACCAAACCCAAAACATGGAGATGTTGTAATATCATTGTTTAATGTCAGGCTTTGATGTATTATAGAGATCTTTTGAATTTTTCCCAGTAGACAAAATTTGGGCTTTAAAATTTGACTCAAAGTTATGTCCAACTTTAGTCCTTTTGTCTATAATTGAGAAATAAATGAATTTATTTTTCTTATAAAAGAAGAGTTACTTTTAAGAAGATTCTCTTTAGAAAATGAGGGAATAATTTTCACTAATTTAACTTTTTGCATCAGTCAGCAAGGCGGTTAATATAAGGTTCTTTTTCAATGAGATGAAGAAGAACTATCGTCGTTATACCTTAAAGTATTTGTTTCTATACAAATTTATGCGAAAAAGTCTAGCATTTCTAATGTTTTGCTGAGCGGGCATGAAAGATCAATGACGGACCACTGAGTGAGATATTGGACCACTCGGTCAGTTGTGTTCTTGGGTCCGACGAAACGAAAGTTGCCCTAAAAACTCAGTGAATAAATGTATCTTATTAAAACAGAGCTGGTCAAATAACCAGAACAGGTTATCAAGGTCAGAAGTATTTGCCTGAAGTAACTCTGTTAACTTTCACTCTCTGCAGCTTTCTATACCTTTTATTGCACTACTTTTAAATAAATAAGACTCAAGATGTGGACCAGTTAACTGTAACATATTTTCTATTTCATAAACTATTTTTCTGCTTAATTTGACAAGAGGCCTAGGGCCACGTCGCTCACCTGAGCAACTAGCAATAGGTAAAAGCAAAAATCGATAGAGTATGGAAGTTAAGATATAAAAGTGGGTTCAGGGGAGGTGGGGAGGGGGATATATGAACAATCTTAAATCAATTCTTCCTACGGATGCTTTTCTATAAATACATATATGATACATAATGGCTTTTCTGTTTATATGATGATAATTTTTATTGATATAGCCTTTACATTCCTGTGTATAACAATGATCCACTCCAATGGCTTCTCTATTCTCCTGGTTGGTCATGATTTGAACAAATTTAAATCTAAATTACCTTTTTTGATGCTTTTATATTGATGATCAATCATGGCTTTGTTGTTCCTCAGAATATTTTTTTCTATGCATTCCTACTAAAAATCTTGTTTTACCATCCTCCCCCGGTGGGTCTTGATTTGAACAAAATTGAATCTACACTACCCGAGGATGCCTCCATATAAATATGAACAATCATGGCTTTGATGTTCTCGAGAAGAAGATTTTTCCTTTGTTTTCCTATGTTGAACTTTGATACCCCTATTGTGACCTCATCCTTCCCCCGGAGGTCATGAATTGAATAAACCTGCTTCCACTTTAGTTTTATCTTTCCCGGCCCAGTGGCTCTTGAGAAGATTTTTTAAAGATTTTTCCTATACACTCCTTTGTTAAACTTTGATCCCCCGTTGTGGCCACACCCTACCCCTGGGGGTCATGATTTGAACAAACTTGAATCTATACTACCTCATGAGTTTCATTTTTCTTGGCCCAGTGGTTCTTGAGAAGATTTTTAAAAGATGCAATTAATTTTCCACTAATTCATAATGATTTCCCTTTCAAAGAGAGCATGTCCCTTCATTTAAAAAAATTGAATCTCCTTTACCCAAGGATACGTTGTAGTAAGTTTGGTTGAAATTGGTCGAGTGGTTCTTGAGAAAATGTGATGGAAATGTGAAAAGTTTACGACAACAACGCCACTGAACGACAACGACAGACAACGGACACTTTTTAATAAGAAAAGTTCACTTGAGCCTTCGGCTAAGGTGAGCCAAAAATGAATGAAAAAATGAGCAAGCTCACATACCCCATGCTCCCCGTAAACTCGAAGTGCCAACATCCCTGTATTAAAAAAAGGAATCGTGATTCCTGTTTATCTAATTGTTAGTCCATTATTTATACACTGAATTGACGACGGATTTTCCGTTATTTCCCGATCATGACAAGGAGCAGTGACCGGTTGGCAGGGGATGCTCACTCCTCCATGGCACCTGATCCCACCTCTGATTATTCGCAGATTTCAAAGAATTTACTTATTTTCAGAATATGTAACCCCCCCCCCCCTAGTACCCCTGACCCGAGGGCCCTGAAATTAATCATTTTGAAAGAGGTATCTTTCTTCATCATAAATTAGTACTTAGCTCATTCGCATAATACATGAACAAAGGAATAGAGAGTCCCCTTAACAATAAAACCCCTGATTCAAGGGCCATGAATTTCACAATTTTGGAAGAGGCGCTATTGCTCATTATAACTATGTACTTAAGTCAGTGGCGGATCCAGAAATTTTGAAAAGGGGGGCCCGACCAGTTTGAGGTCAGGGCAGGGGCCCACAGTCACACCAAAAAACATTAACTTATCAAATATTGTGTATTTTTCAAGACTCAAAAGGGGGGCCCGGGTCCCCTGCCCCCCCCCCCCTAAATCCGCCAGTGTTATTTTATTAAATACCCAGGATTAGAGGAGAAGATTTTCAAAGAATTAATGTATTTTCACGATATAATTTATAGAGCTCCCCTTGAACAAGAGCCTTCAACCCGGGGCCACCAATTTCAAAAATTGCACTCTTGTTCATCATAACTATGTATTTTGTAAGTTTCTTTATTACCCAGGAGCAGAGAAGATTTTCAAAAAAATAAAGTATTTTAACTATATAGTCAAAAAAATGTTCAAAATAACATTATCAATAGACCCCCCTTTCACTCTGAGCCCATGACCCATGGGCCACCAATTTCCAAAATTTGTGAAGAGGCACTCTTGCTTATCATAACTATGTACTTATTTTTTTTAGTAACCAGGAGTAGAGAAGAAAATTTTCATAGAAATAATGCACTTTCAGTCACTATATGATCTACATAGCCCCGCCCTAACACCAGAACCCCTGACCCTGGGGTCATGAATTTCACAATTTTGGTAGGGGGCTCACTGCTTATTACAATCATGCCAACAGTTTGACCGCTTGATGTCCAGGAGCAAAGAAGATTTATAAAGATTCAATTCATTGCATTCAATTTTGTAGTTTTGGCCCCACCCCTCAGGCCCCAGGGGGCAGGGACTCTGAAATTCATAAATTTTATTTCCCTTTACCCAAATAGTATGCCATATGCTCATCAACTTGGCTGAAATTGGTTCAGCGGTTTCATAGAAGTTGAAAATGTTCAAATATCAAAAACGGATAGCAATAGGTTACATGAGTGACTCAGGTGACCTAAAAAGACGTTTCACCTTTATAAAATATTTTTATGTCATCAAGAGTTATCTCTAATTTTAGGGTATCAATAAACCTTAGGGAATGCAGCACTTTAAGTAAAGGGAGGTAACTCAAGCCGTGAATAGGGAATGTTCGAATTCTAATTCTGGAGATCTCCATTTTATGCAGCTTATTTTGAAGAGGTTTATATATTTGCTTTTTACTTCCATCGCACTTTATTCCTCGTCAAAGTTTTTTTTTATTCCACAAACTTATGATATTCAAATTAGTTTTATTACATAAAATATATTCAAAATATCATTTCCAGCGTGTTTTCAAGTTTGTAATCGTTTTTTTTTTTTTTTAAACGGGGTTAATCGTCTTGTTCGAACAGAATTCTGACGGACTGATATATGAAGTAATTTAAATATATTCTGCATAGGAGCAATCTTAATTAACCGCTGTAATTAATTAAGTTACAAGTTTTGAAGTTGTATGCCGAATATATTGGTGAATAAAACAGAAAATGGTAATTGAGCAATCTACATTACTGCTTTAAAATTCTTCGAACTCCGGAGATTCTTTGTTTAAATAAGCACAGCTCGATTTAAGTAAACAATGTGTGTATATTGTTCTTAATGAGACATTTTGTTTAAATCTAAAGTAAGTGAATACAAGATCCAGCCGGTCGTTAACTTTATCGGTTATATTGGGAAACAAATCAACGCTAGGGGCGCTAGCTGGACCAACCAGTGATGTTTTCAGCAGTATCAAAAACTAACTTACAAGATGTCTGAATTTTCTGTTCTATAGATCTCTCAGTTTATAAGAAATGTATACACTATACGATGTGTACTTCAGTGGAAGACAGAACATTTTCCCTCATTGTTTACAAGCAAAAAACCATCCTTTCAACGCTCATTTGTATATACATAGAAAAAGATTCCAATGAAGTTCCAATAGCACAATATAATAATATTAAATAATAATTTAGAAAAAAAGGAAATACATTAAATAGTCATATGCTATTATATAAATATGATGGTCAAATTCAAATAGAAAATGGTTAAGTAGTGATCGATCATTGAATAAAGCAGAACTGGCATTTGTTAAAATCAAATAATAATCTAAGAGCTGTGTACAGTGAATTATATGGAATCCGGATAGAGCCATGTAGTTCACTATCGTACCATCGATTATCGACTTATAGTTTGATAGCGCGATAATTCGATGGAGCGATAACGATGAAGCGATGATGCGTTGACGATGGGGCTATGGTTCAATAGCACGATGACAATGATGCGATCAAGCGATAATGCGATGACGATGATGCGATAAAACGATAAAGTAAAAGTGAATATTGCTTCATCGTCATCGTACCATAGCGTCATCGTCATTGCACCATCGTGCCATCACTGTCGCAACATCGTGTTATCGCACCATCGCTTCATCGTGCTATCGCACCATCGCCATCGCTTCATCGTTATCGCACTATCGCAACATAACTTCATCGTTATCGCACCATTGCTTCATCGTCATCGCATTATCGTGTCATCGCATTATCAACCAAAACCTCGATGGTGCGATAGTGAACTGCATGGCCCTATCCGGATTCCATAGAATTGGAATATGAGCAGATACATTGTACATGTAACGAACAGTTTTTGAGTTCAAAAATTCATAAAACAGTGCAAAATAGGTGCGTAACAAATATGGACCTCCAGAACACCGGGGGGGGGGGGGGGGGCAGGTGC